ATAGAGGAGGTAGGATTGTACTAGGTCACAGAATCCTGCTGTCATATTCCCCATAGCAGCCTCAGTCTGTAGGGACAAGGTACTTAGAGCTCATTTGCTCTGCTGCATACAGGGCTCTGTAAGAGAAAGTCTCCATCTGTTTTCATTGAAGACTCATCAGCCCATGTTGGCGATGTTCATATCTTCCTAGCTGCTGTGAGCTGTGTGCCTGGCACATCTGGGGGACTGTTTGGGGGCTATCTGGTCCAGGCTGGGGAAGCAGGAACAAGTTGCACCCTGTAAGTAGGGGGAGAAGGAAGGGGGGAGCAGGAAGGGAGAGAGATGGTTGATGGCAGCTGGGGGTCCACAGACAGATCACAGCCGTTCTCAGCCTCACTCTGCTCTGGATGGGAGAGTCTCAAAAATACTGAGGGAAAGCTTTTCTTTTCTGTCCTGGCCTCCTTGGAAAATAGGCCCAGAGGGAAACCCAAATTCCTTGGGGAAGGGGATGTGACATTATGGGGGGGAAGCAAAGATCTTTGGGCAGAGACCTGAGCTGGTGATACCTGTTCCCTTCATCTGCGGAGTGGGAGGGAGAGGTCAATGGCTATTCTGTGACTTGGGAAGCTGAGGAGGTAAGATGGGAGTGAGTGTTTCTGTTGTTTCTTTTTCCTGCTATAACAGGAATATATACTCCTTATAAAAAATTCAAGTAGGACAAAAATCAATCTGAGTAGGAAGTGATAGTTCCTAGGAGTAGCTTCACACCCCAGAGATAAACCCTGTTACCGCTGTGGGTGTGAAATATGACCAGCTGGGCCAAGGGCCCCTGGCCATTCTGCCCCAGCAATAGATGTCTGTGCTTGCTGGTTCTGGTTACGCAGCTCTGCTTGGTTGTTTGGAGCTGGAGTCCATAAACTTCTCTGTTGCCCCACCTCCCTGGACCTTCCTGTGCCAAATGGGGCCTAGTCCAGGTTTAGGAAAAGTGACTAGGGCCTGGCTGTTTAAAGGTCAGGCCCGGGTGGGCATTGGGCTGAGAAAGTGGGCGTGAGGATGTTGGAGCAGACTGGTCTTTCTGCCAGTCTTCCCTGCCTGTCCCATGGCCATCCTTACGCACTGCATGCCCCTTCAGCCTGCCTCTCTCCCTCATCTCTCCCCTCTGCTCCCCTCACTCCCTTACCCTGTCATGGGAGAGGTACACACACCCTCTGAGCTTTGCCTTCTGCCCTCCCTGCTGGCGCCACTGTCTGCTCTGATCTGGCCTTCCCGAGGGTTAATCTCTTAGGTTTGGGAGAGAAAACCAACAGCCCAGTCTCATTCTGCTCAGGCTGTTGAGTGGGTCCTGGAGGAGGAGGCAGGCAGTAGCTCATGACCAGCACACAATGGACTCTTCTAGAGAGATGCAATTAGAGGGGCCCCTGGGAAAGCTCCCTCACCTTTAGACTTCAACAACCACCACCACTACCAAGCTCTTTGCAATGCCTTAATTCTGGATATTTGGAGGTATAGGGACTTTTTGCACAAAGGCTCACCCATTCCCTATCTCCCTATGTCCACCAAAGGCTTGGGGAGCTCGTGCTGAGGCGTAGGCACATCGCAGGTGGGGGAGGACTGCATGCTACTGACCGAGGTGTGTCTGGGTGGGTGCATGTGTCTGTGTGTATGAGGTATCTATGTATGACGTTGTGTGTATGCA